CTATATATATATATATATATATATATATATATATGTCAACGGTATTAAAGTCTACGCTTCTTCTGCTTTGTGGATGGGTGGGATAGAAAGACGTAACATACAAGCAGCCGAAACACCTTCCTGTACGTACCCACCTACAAGGAGAACTTCCCGCACACGTGTATGATGTTCAATAACAGCCGCCGCGTGATAGGCACGGGCCAGCTCCAACGCGATCTGATCTATTGGAGAGGATGGTGACACTGTAGTAGCGGGTGGCGGAATCAGATTGAGTCTTACCCATACAAACTGCAGGGTCTCTGTTCGGCGTCCGGCTCCAAGTACAAGTACTGACAAATCCATCTTCATTTCTTTTCCAATCGACAATTTCTTGTTATGGAGGACCCACGCATCTGAGAGAATTTTACCTCCTGCATCAACCCCACCATGGACAAGGATTTCCTTAATGGAACTTTCACCCTCCCTTCCAAGGCATGGTAACGGGCAAATAGCCGCACCATAGCGTGGGCAAGGAGCAGCCCCCCCAGTGAGTTGTACTGGGAGCCAGCATCGCGTTTCAGTATCGTACGCAATCACATCGTTAAATAGCTCCAAGTGCAAATTTCCGGAGGGTTGATCCTCCGGCATGGCGCCACCGGCACGCGAAAAGCTGCGGCCTGAATTATTCTTTGACTTTGATTTGCCACTGTTGGGGCCATGTCGTTTGGCTGGAGTGGGGCGATCCTCCATTACCAACCGGCGCCCACCAAAGAAGAGCAGAATGTGATCGTCCAGACAGCAGGTCGCGTGAGCAGAACGGGGACCTGGTGCTGGGATTAGATCTGCTACCATTTTTTCATCCAAGAAAGTCGCGGATGAGCCTTGGATAGCAGTTTCTGGCGTAAAAGTATTCTCCTCCACCAGGGTCAGTGTGGAAACATCGAACCCTGAAGCATCACTGATGTTCATGCACATCTGGGCCCAGTCCAAACTGTTGCTAACAATACTCAATCCATGAACAATATTTGAACAACCATGCAACGTAGTGCCACCAAAAAAATAGAACTTACCTCCCACCACTGTGCAGCTGTGTCCACTAGTAGGAGGAACGCTTTCCGGGAAGGGCAAGGTTGGGACTCCATCGAGCGAGATCGAACTTTCACCGCAATCTTTTGCAGCTTTTTCTACATAGATTTGCATGGAAGCGAATCGTCGCTGGCCATCCCATCCTCCTACTGCACACACCAGCGCGGGAATCTTAGGCGACACCAACAAAGATCGTGTCGAATTCAAATCTCCATTCATCGATTGAAGTTCTATGAGATTCTGCTTCTCATCTGATGGTTCGAGCTTTTCAGGATCTGAGGTATTGCTCTCGGGATTATAGAAATCCCACATAACAGCTGTTGCCGACTGTGTAGGCCACTTTTTCACACGTGTAATCCCCGGCGCGTGCCATCGCTGAGACGCAATGTGATAATATTCTATCAATGGATAGGTGGAAGATTCCAGAGGAGGTAATGTCATATCTATTATCTTATTCCTGTTTTCATTCGGATTAGGCGCAGGGTCCACGTACCCAGTGTTGGCGATCTCAACTTCAGATGATGACAACTTCATTACAGAAGGAAGAGTGGCACTTAACGAATCGTTACCAAGTGCTGTCAAGCTAGATACTACGCTGACCAAAGCGACGCCGCCTATAACAGCCAGAATCCCCTTGTGATTAGGCACTAGGGTTGCCACATGACCTACACGCTGACCGCACGTAAGCATTTTAGCGGATTTGCTGTTAGTCGCACTACTTTCGACCGTAACATTAGTCCGAAGTACAAGCGTCGGACCACTGATTTGCATCTGGCAGCTGCTGAGTGCCTCTGGACGCGTCTTAGATCGTGCAGCACCCTTTGCTGCGACGACCCCTTTTCCGGGCGGCATTTTACTCAGGGAAAAATACTCTCTAAAAGAAACCCCAAGCTTCTTTCCACTAGGCTTAATTTATGTATGTTTTGTCCTTATGTTGCCCCTCCCGCTTCCACAGAGATGTCAAAAATAATTCAATGCGCAGTGACAGCAATGTAATGAAGTATCAGAGCGCTTTGCGCAACATACAGCTAGATAAGTTGTTAAAATAAAAAAAGCTAATTGTTCCCATCGGCATCGTCATCAGATGGAACTATCATCTTAATTGTCTGTTTTACCGTACCGTTTAAATTCTCTAAATCACTTGGTAGGAAACATGATGGATATTAACGTCAGCAACAGTGGAATTTTAAGTAAATTGGCTCAGATTCTTCTCAGTAATGCAAAGATATAAATAGATTTCTATAATTTTCGAGTTTCTATCAGTTTCATCACTTTATCTTAAACCACTTTGCTAAAAAATAACTTTGTGTTTGACGTGGACAGACTACGTCATCATCAGACTCAGTAAAAAAAATCACAATGTATTCCTTTCCTTTTAGACAGAAGTTGAAATGCCTTGAATAGCCCAATGCAGTCGTATAAGCTTCAACTTTCCATTCCGCATCGCCACTAGGACTGCCGCGCGTACTTGAAGACAAAAAACTAAGAGTGAGCATATCGATGTTAACGTGTCCGTCTTTAATAATCTCAATTATATCTACTGTTCCACACTGAATGTTTATCGCTTCATTCTTACAGTTAGTGAAATGGGGGTACGCAACTATCGTGTGAACTACCCAAAACAGATCAACAAGTCCGATCACAGCATCGTTGTTGTTTCCTAAGTAATACCCTGCTACATACTCCTTATCGCTCACGGCCCGGCAGTAAACCAAAGGAAACACCACCTCCTGTTTTATTCGATGGAATCCATGATCAGCCGTCAATTTCGTCTCGCCCAGCTCCTCATCGCTCGCACGCGCACTAGCCGCTGCCATGCGGGATAGGACGTGTGCGGCATGGTGACCCTGGCTCGGGACCCCACAGACCTTCACGAGGTAGAAGACTTTGATTCGATCATTAAAATGGGGCCAAACGAATTAAGATAGGAAAAATTATGTAAACAGCCCCTGAATTATATCACTGTGTCTGGGTAATGATGAAGACCGCTTAACTAGAGCAAGCAGAATAAAAGCGCTTCAAATGATTTTATATGGTATATTTTTTCTGATTTAAGGTGTGAATTGATAAAACCAAACAAATTTTTTCAGCATGTTTTCTTGAGACTTAAGTAAACGAAAATCTATCTGTATGGATGTAATAAATCTGTATTCCTAATAACAGTCAGATACCAAATGGATAAAAAAAAACTTACATACACTCCTCCTTTCGCATTTTCCGTATCCATTATTTTGGTAAATAGAAATATTTTTGATCCTTTACTGACTATTTTTCCTTACGTGTGCTCGATCCCTGAAATGGTGAAGAGGGGTAAGCGCTGCGAGCACACAGTGCTTAGATAGCCCTTAGTCTTGTACATAACGTGTTCGTATTCCAATACACATAACTGGTAACGTGTGTGTGGAAAATAATTTACATTGATGAACACAACGAATATGATGGGTAAATGATTTTGTATATAAAATACCAATCTCTTATAATCTATTCTTTCAGTAACATTATATAGGGGAATTCCCAATCTGTAGAAATTATTAGCTGTTCATCAAAATGTTAAATAGAATTATTTAACAAGTGAAGAATCAATTAGTGTCGGTGTGTGTTCACCTGCAATTGCCTTCGCCAAATATTCGTTGTTCTGCAATAGCATAGTTTTCATTTGCTCCAGTGTTCCTTTCTTTTGCGCAACTTCGCGCTCTTCGTTCTCGACATATTTCATAGAACGCATCACGAAGCGGGTGCGCTTATCCACGAGTTGGTGCCCGAATTCCTGCAGCGGGTGAACAAACGTTTCGTTAGTTCGCTTAAATGTATCACGTACGACATCCTCAATATTCTCAAAGACTTGTTCTCCCGCATCCTGTGTGGCATTAAGGGCATTAAGCACCCCCTCAACCGCCTTCATCTGTTCCATCAGTTCGGTAAGCTCCACACGATAGTTCTCCAAGTTCGGATCGAGACTGTCCATAGCGCTGTCTTGGTTATGTTTAGTTAGGCGCGCCTGACGTTCCAGGGTGTCAAGGCGGTGAGACTTTTTGATGGCTAACTCACCACAGAAGAATACGAAAACTTTGTAAGCATCCATGAAAGAATTTACCTCTTCGGTCGTGATCTCCTTTACGACCTCTTCCATACGGTTTCTTGGGAGCTTTTTAACCATGTCCGCGACGTAACGTTCTGTCTCCTCAATCACTGGCTTACAACTGTTGAGGTATGCCAAGCAATGCTGCAGCCGCTGGCAGTGTTGCCCATGCATGTTAAGAAATTCTTGTAATGATGTGATTCGCTGCTCCTCCGCACGCTTGGCTGCTGTTGCGGCTTTGGTAAGATCCCTTTGTTTATTCATTAAGTCGCGCAGCTCCAGTGCCTTTCTGCGGAGCTCGTCGATAACATCCCGCTGCAATTTCATAATCGTATCCAACTCTGTTGACATTTGTTTCTGCTTCGACGCGTATTCCGAAGCAGATGCGGCTGACTTGGCCTCTTCCTCACGCCTGGCTTTGTTGCTTAGTTCGAGATCAGCGTTGAAGGCAGCTTTCAGAGCCTCCTGTTCCTCTTTAAATTGCTTTAGAGCATCCTCGGCATCATCTTGAGCTTGCTTTAGCTCGTTGCTAAAGGAACAAACTTCTGCATTATTCGCGGCACCATTAAGGAGCCTTATACGTTTTGCACACAGAACCAAGTATTCGTAGCGAGCGGCAATGAGATGGCGATGGGTGCGTTCCACCTCTACAACATCGCCAGTGGTGTTAGCGGCGTTAAAAGCTGCCAAGGCTTCATTTACCTGTGCGATGAGCCTGTTCTTGATAGGATCGGTTTCGGCTATCTCCGCCCGCACAGACGCGGTAATATCGGTGTGCTGAATATCGTAAAGATTTGTGAGAGTTTTGGGAAGGCTGAGGATAGCGTCTCGGCCCTGGTGCAGCTTTAGAACCTCCAAATTATCCCGAAGCAGCAGGTAACGGCCCCGTGGGATCTCATCCTTACCGGAAAGTGCCTTGAGAATACCGATTATTCCGTTCGCATCCATAGGTGTCCGCTGAGCAAGCTCGTTGATTTTATCCTTAGTGACTTGCTGTTTACATCGGTTTAATATTTTATCTTCGGTCCAGTCACAGGGCTGTTCGTGACGATAGGAATTTAAGTAATTATTGAGCGCGGCTGTCAAGGGAGCAATTTGCACCTCTAAGGGTGGAAGGCGACCTTCTGTATAGGAAAGGTAATTTTCTGCCACAGTGGTGGCATTTTCCACTAACTCTGATAGTGTGGTTGAAAGCTTACGGTTCTCCAACTCCTGCTCCTGGCGCCGAGGATAGCTTGGCGGTACAATAGATCCAATAGTTTGGGCTTTCATTCTTATAAATTAGTAACAATCGTACGTTGAAAAGAATAATGTTTAGGAATATAGTCCTAACCTTGTATAGTTCGGTTGTTAAATCGGAGTTTCACTTTATAAAATACTTCTAGTATGGAGAGACTAAAGCTTATGAAGAAATTGTAGAGAAAAATAGCTTCGATAAGCCAAAATAAAAACGAGCGCTGAAGAATTAGTGAATTCATTATTCATAATTATCCATCCAACAATGGATTTAGAAATCGGAAAAAGGGATAGAAAAAGCCGAATGGTTCTTCTTTTTCTATATGGGTACGAAGGTCACTACCTATTGTATCTGTTTTTAGCTCATCCGTAATTACAAAAGAATCCGTTCACCAACCCTGAATACTCTCAGAACTTTCCTTTATATAAAATGGTTTTTGATTTTATGATTATCTTTCCTTTATTTATTGGAGTCTGCGTTTACAAAACAGTATAATCTTAAGCAATAAAAAGCCTTGATGGGAATTCAAATGTTGGGAAAGGTGAATGCCTAAATGGACATTCACGCCACATGTAAAACGTTTATGCAAGTTTCATTTTAGCGTCCCCTGCTGCAGTGTATTTGGCATCCACATACATAACGAAATATCATTTTCAAGGTTGAAGACTAATAACACAGGGTTAACATCTGAAGCTACATTCATTTATTTGAAAAGAGATCCTCACAATTAGAAGGTTCAGAATGACGAACTTGCCCAGGTTGTAGAAACTAAACAAACCTGTCCTTACCGTAAAAAGTGATTCGGCGTGCGGGAGACCAGGAAGAAGACAGATGGGGAAAGCTTCTAGCTCTCCAATAGCAATTTTAATAAGGACTGGATAAGTCTTGGATATATTGGAAGGTATCCTTTTGCTGTCAATGGGTGCCTGAAGTTTGAAAATTAGAAAGTTAAAGTATACAAGCGATGAAACATCTCTTTCATACTGTTTTCTGCGTGTACTATTAACAGATTTGTAAATTATTTGTTGGTATTGATTCGTTTTCCCTTTTTTTTCACGTAGTTTGGAAAAGTCCCCTCCTCTGTCAATCACTTGTACGATTCAGTATAGTGCAGGCAGTAAGTAACATTAAGCAATTACAGTAAGAATTATTCTAAGGAAAGACCAAGAAGGATAAACTACATCGATAATGAATAAAACTCAGAGTACATTGACAAAATATCTTATTAGCGTCACATTGATAATAGAAAGACAAAGCCTAGTAAAAGCCAACAAGAACATGTATTGAAAGATATTCTTATTGGACACACTCAAAGACATCACGCCTTTGTAGTTATTTCTTCTACAATGCCGCGTGCTTGTTAAATTGAAGATACACAATAAGACACAGAAATGATGAGTTCCAGGCTCTGCCTTTACATGGTTTCCTGTATCTAAAGGGCTCTATCATTGGAAGATCTTGAAGACCTCCTCCAGACCCTTTGCAACTTTAAAGTTCCTGTCTCGTCGTCCCACACTGTAGTAAATTACACCGCTGTCGAGATACAACAACACCACATGGCCGTCATCCTTGCAAACAATGTCATTGTGTAGCTTGAGGATGCGATGTCCGCTGGGAGAACGCATGTTTGCCTCTTCTAGCAGCAGCTGCCTATCTTCTGCGATAGCGTTTAGCAGAGTCACTGTGAACTTCCCCCGTGAGTGCTGCAGCATCCCCTTGTATCGCTTCTGCTGATGGGCCGTGTGCAAGGTACCGCTTAGCTTACTGAGCTCTGCAGTACCCAAGGTTTCCACAACAAGCAGCAAACGATACAAGGCGGTTCGCAAAATAGCAGAGCATATCCTTGTCGTGGGGGAAACCTCGTTAGAGGATGCGTTGAGAGAAAATAAAGTGCGCTCGACCACAAGAGATTTGAATAAACGCACAAATGCAGTCCATAAAGCATTTGACACGCCTGGCCGAACTACAAAGGTTCTGAAGTTTTCTTCAAGCGGTTGGATAAAAGTGCTGAACACCAATCGAAGGACTGCTACTGCGCGCTGTGTAGGGCTAGTCAAAGCTAGAATGTCTTTAGCAGAGCTGCTGAAGACAGCGCTTTGCACTAGCTGATTAGAAAGAATTCCAATAAAGCGTACAGCTTCCACACAAAAGTGTTCAAATCGAGACTCATCCTCAAGACAAACAAACAACAAATTCCTTGCTAAAGTTGCCACACAATCAAGAACTTCACCGGGAATAGATGAGCATATGTTGACACCCCCCATGAGCACATAAGCAGCCCATCCAGGTACCAGAAGAATACCTACACGTAGCGGCTTCAGCTCCGGGGTGATCCTAATTGATATTGAATGGCTAAGAACATTCGCAATACGTTCGACACACCACTGGGATGTCTCTATCGGTAGGTATGTCATAGCTTGAATGGTGAGATTGATTGCCTCGTTCTTTTCCAGGTACAAAGTATCAATAACAGTTGCTGCCCGTTCCGATCCCTCCCTTCTTCCAGTATTCCACTCTCTCAAGTCGCTCAACCACTTGCCACAGCTGTATACAGCATCTGTGGTGAGCCCACAGATAACCATAAGGCCAATAACGTATGCACCACAATCGACACCAGTCGTCTCGAGGCTCATTCCTCCCCTCAACTGATCAGCTTCGACAACAGTAGGATCCCACCACAGGGTCCCCACATCACCAAGGGAGCCCTTACTTCCCCAAACTGACTCCAGACTCTTGAGCTCACCTACAATTCGTTTTAGAATGGGAAAGCTTTGGCCCTCTTGTCGTCTTCGTGAGATCGCTGGAGAGGCACTAGTAGCCTCCCGCCTGAGTCGTGCCGCCATTACTGTCGTTGCCTCCAAGTACGTCCGGATATTTGCCACAGTAACAAGAGCCTGTATCGTCAGCACCCATTCGACTGGGAATGACAAAAAGCAACAGGAGGTGGTTGCAGATGACAAAGTCGACTCCCTAATTGACTTTCGACTCGGAATAATCGGTGGATTGACACCAACGCCTGATGTAAAATGCTCATCCAGGTCATATTCCTCGGGTACACAAGAAGGTGCCCTCTCCTCAAGCATGATCAAGGACCGTTGCAAAATTTTTGTAGACTGTGAAAAGAGCACAGCAACATGTGCAGCGGAAAACATGCGTGGAAGTCTAAATTTTGACGATTTGCACGCTGATTGTTCCCATAGAGACGATTTCCTTTAACACGTAATGTTTCTTACACAAAAATAAGGAGGAAAATTTACACTTCACTTTACACGTACACATACAGAATTCCCTGAGGGGTGAAAATTATTCATTAAAACACAATAATAGTGCTATTACGTCTAGTCTAGCTAATTCAAATATGAACAAAACTTTATCTTGCGTATTGTCACAGAAATAAACTAGGTTAACAACAATATCCAACTTTTTGAGGTAATATTAAATAGATACAAAAAAAAAATGCCCCATATAATATTACATCCCATTCATCTCCAAATAGGCTCTCCGCGGGGATTCAATAAAAACGCTAATTTGACACATAAATAGAAATCAACATATAGTCTATGGCGATTCCAGTTCCAATAAGATGCTCATCTGACGATACGCTATGCACAATGAACCACTTATCAAGGTAAACGCACATAATGCCCGCCAGAATTATTACTATAGGGTTGATAACGAAAAGTGTGACTGTTGTTGTCGCTCCGAGTACACTGATTATAGCGTTTTTTAAAATACACAGAACAGCCAATAGGATGGAAGAGAAAGTAAATCAAACTATGTGGTCGATAACGCAAAGCTTGATAAAAAAGTCGTACGACAGTTGAAAGTCCGAGCGTTACTGCTGGAGATACATAACTAAATGAATTTTATGCTCATTCCATGATATGCTATACAAGTACTATGCCTCCATTGAGTTATTAAGGTATTCCATTTACTCACGTTCTATAGAAGAGCTGCAGCGATAGCTGATGCTATAGCTATCAGTGAAGCGTATATTTTGAACCAACCATCGGTCATTTGACGGAAACCTTATAACACACTCCTTACGAACTAAATTCCATATGTCTACTGTTAAAGTAACTATCTGTGGATACTGTAGTGCAGCGCACCACATATAAAGTGCGATTACACTGTCTTTAGTGGAATCAAATCCCAACGCTGTCCTACTTCCAACATTTTTACCTTTCAAAGGTGACGCTGAATTATTGTACACCAGAAATTTGGAATGTGCACCAAAAAAAAAATACAATATAGAATTTTTCATTTACATCCTTATCCTCAGAGTCCATAGTAACAGATCTACAGCGCACGTCAGAAATCTGCGCTGGCAAAAACGCAAGTTTTACTCAGATAGGCATCACATTCCACATTCATAGCAAAATCCATGGTTTACCCCTGATAATGCTTTCTCCACAACTTTCACGCGTGCGAAGGCGAGAGATATAATAGTATTAAAGACCAACCTGACACCTAAAAGCAGAACGATCCAAGCCAATTTTTGTATTATGGAGTCATTGTTGAACCCTGAAAGCCTTCCAACCAGGATTATCATAACCATGTCTTTACCAGAATTATTACAACCATTAAAGAAAAAATAGCAATAGACAATATCACCTACGTAACCACCATAGATGTTAATATACTAAGAGAATATGACGCATAAAAATTAGTGATAATCATTGTGCATGTCAAAATAACGATAACTACGTTCCAACGCAGGTGCTTTGCAGTGCTTACAAGCTTGTAGTGAGATCCTTACGCCTCGACTTGCTTTATTCCCTCAATGTATTCCTCTCACGTAACTATTTTGAGTTTCATAACAATAACCTGTATGTACCGCGACAGGTCTATCTGACGCTGGGACCATGCCTTGGATTGGGAGTAAGTCCAGTATGGTGCGTGGTTGGAATGCTATCACCAGAAACGACAGGTGCTGCCCACTATCAGTATGTGACGTATACTACTCGCGTCTATGCACAACGACATGATATAGAATAGGTCCACCCGGAATGGTTCAACTGGTTTGGGTAGTTTAGCTCCGGTAGCATGATAAGAAAAAGAGGCGGTGCATGAACGGAGCCGCCGTATTTCTGACGGATACTCACCGAATGCAAATTAGATTACAGCGTAGTGACGTCAACGGATAACACGATTGTTGCCGTAAACACCATTGATGAGAGTCAGAGCGGAAGTCCGAAGTCACCGTTGCATCAGACAGGAGATTCACAATGGGGACGCCGTGATGCTGAGGTTGGGATCCGTCCCTTTGATTGCATTGTGAAGCGCCGCGCCGTTGATCTGGTAAGGATACAATTTCTATTGATATCTTATCTGAATCAATTAAAACTCTTCGGGCATGTCGCGATGGAGATTTATCGTATGGTACACCAATGTGATAGAAGCTTGATTTTGGAGTATTATGCGTGCTAAAAAATTTCACATCTATCTGAAATATTTAATTCTAGAGCTAATCCTCTGAAAACTTATATTTGATATGATAGTTGAGCGCAGGTGTATGTAAAAAAAAAGGGGAAAAGGATTTCACAACTATGTATGGGACAAAAAAAAAAATGGTGCGGCAAAAGTAACACAATTGTTGGAAGCGGAAAAGTAAACTGAAAATAGAAAACCCTAATATAGAAATATTCTGTCTTGTTAATTGATATATGAATGAATAATTTCAAATAATAGTAATAAAAATAACAATGAGTAGAGGGAGGTAATAATATAAGGTTCACTACAGAAGTATTCAGAAAAAAAAGTGTCATGTATAAATATCGGCAGTTTCAAGAATATTAATACGTTTAGGTATAATATTCAAGCATCCCAAGACCAAAAGTGAGGGAAGGGAGGAAGATAGTAGTAACATCATAAGCTATGAGACGGACAAGAAAACGCCTACAACTTGTCAGTGCATACAAATCGATAGAATATGCACCTTTAGAGCCCTGAAAATATCGACATCTGAATGTTACTATCGCATTCCACATCAATATCCCTTAAAATTAGAAAGTACTTGAATAACCAACCTGGGTTAAAGGAGCAAGGTATCGCGTAGAAAAAAGGGGTTTTCACTTTACCTTCAAAGATTGATAAATCATACGAGCTGTAGCCATACCGTCTAATAAACTAATATAAAATTTCCTTTGCGATCTAGAAAGTGCCGCCGAGATTTCAGTCAAGTGGAAAAATGAAAGAAAATACATAAGTAATGTGTCTTTTCATTAAGAGTGAAGACAAATTCAGGATAAAATGAAAGCAATAAGAAGCAGCAAAACTCATGAAATAGTATGTACTAAAGAAAATCAGAGTCCGATTGAGTGAAAAAATGAATGAGTAATTTTGATAATAATAATTTTTGATACTAACAGTAAGATTGCAGGAGGAAAAAAGGAAAACAACTAAAGTGTATTTTGGGGGGAAAAAATCTACTTTACCAATCCCGTGCAACCTTTAGAAAAATTTTGCATACTATTTTAAATTAACCTAAGCTAAAATATCATTAGCAAATAGGAATACTCTTACTATTGTCTCTTAGTTATAGATTTTTAAAAAAAAGAGAAATATGCATACTAGGCCTCTAATCCCAATACTGTGTCTCGGATTATTTAAAAAGATCCCTTGATAGGACAATGAATTTAGGAATGACCCTTAGTAAATGAATTAGCAGATAGAATGCATTAATTCTGATTTTTTAATAATTTTGATATATTATTTTCCATATTCTACTCTTTCAAAATTTTTTTGTAGTGTCACAACAACATAAATCATATATATATATGATCATCAACTTAGAAAAAAAAATTGACACACCAACGAAATTTTATAAAATAAAACAATTTTCCCTACAGTAGCAAAATAGTTACCTTAAAGAAAAAAAAATATCTGCACTGCATTTCTATTTATTATTTTACCATAAAGCTTTAAAGCTTGTCCTCAAAGATCAGAAAAGAAATTCATTGCATAATAAAGTGTTAATAAGTGAAAGCACTACAAAATAAATTAATTAATATATTCAGCACAAAAATGAGAACCATTAAAAAGATCTATGTTAAGGGGTGTTTGACCCTTTCAAAAGATTAAAAGGATTAGCAGAATTCTCCAAGCGGTGGAGGTGCATGTCAGCAAATGTATGGTTCACAACCCGATGTTCTGCCTCATCAGCGCGAATTACCGCAATCAGGTCTCGGAAAGAGGCATCGTTGGGTAAACTCCAGTACTGTTTGGCAATTATAGGTACATGAGAGCTGATCCCTCCAAGCTCACCCTTGTCCAAGTGCTCCAATATTGACGTATAGGTGATGACAGCCTCCTCTTCAAGATAACCCACAAAGCGGTGCACAAATCGCGGACATATCATATACAGAAAAAAGAGCAAGTTGAACACGATCCCTTGTGCAGCCAAAACACACATACGGAAGAAAAGTCCAGGTTGTCGCATCTCGATGAAGGTCATCAAGTGCATACGCTCGTTCTCTGCTTCGTCAAGAAGGGTCTGGATCCAACCGTGATCAGTCTCCATGCGACGCAACGACCTAAAATGGCGCAGCATGCCGCCCACCATTCCCGGCACGCCTGCCACAGTTTCGAGGAAAAGACAGCGATTAACCACTTTACGCTCAGTCACACGGCCAATACGATACATAGAGAAGGTATCAAATGACCACCGCATAATTCGCACGACGCGATACGCAATGTGATCGATTACACCCTTAGGCTTCCTATGGTTAATCTGAACTTTTTGCACGTCATCAACCGACCATACTGGGGTGCCGTGTCCATATTCACGAATATATAACTCATCCCCTTTCTTTGAGCATGCTTCTGCCATGTCAAGGAAACTGAGTTTGTTGAGCTCATTACTGCCCCATCCCCATGTTTTGCTCCTGGTGACGGAATTCGAAGACTGGGATGGCTCAACCTTTGTA